TAAAAATAAATTGGAACAATATAAGTCGAGTCCCGATAATTTGAAATGGCAAGGAAATCCGATTTTTTCGATCTGCACATAAATTCAAATTGTTGAGAATTAGAAAACAGATAGCATTTTTTTTCGATATATCGAGATTCCACTGTATATATGTATATACATTACAAAAATTACTTAAAAAATAGCGCATACAAAAAAAAAAAATAATAATAATAATAATTTAAAATTAAATAAAGAAAAATAAATACACATAATAAAATAATTTTAAAACAAAATAAATAAATAAATAACTTTTTCATCTTCCAACTTGTCTATCACTGTATGTTTAAATTTGTTATAATTTGCCTGTACTTTTTCCAGCGTATTGCTGACAAAATAAAAACTATCACCAAAAATGTTAAATACTGTTTAGCAATCAATCAATATTTATTAAATAATTAATACGCTTTCAATAGTCATAGATTATTCTTATATATAGACTATATTCTTTCCCACATAATTAATTAATAATATTATATACTATATTACATATTCTTTAATTATTATTATATATATTATATAAAACACACCTTAAAAAATATTCCCTATAGTAAAATAAAATAAAACACAAAGAAAATCTTTTTTTAATTGCTTTATTTAGTTATCGCCTGAAACATTTTAATTGTTGCGCTATCGCCATGCATCGCCAGTCCCAGAAATAGACCATATATCAAGACATTTGAGTGGTTGCCGCTAATCAGAAATCTGTGACTGCGACTTCCTCAACAACAACAACAAGAGCAACAACAACAGCATCGAATTGCATTGTGGATGGGTTTTTGGAGTTCCCACCCGTTTAATGATTGGGAATTGCAGCAGCGTGGCCGAGAGCGAAACAAAACTGTCAACTGCGCTGGACACATGTAGCACGATCACTTTTTGCACACATACGACTGGCGGCCGGCAGATCAGTAGCTGGAATCAGGATCAATGTAAGCCGGGCCACATCAGCGGCGGCTAACCGGGCTAAGCAGCCCTGGCTGGGCATCTGGGCATCTGGACAGCTGGGTAGCTGGCCAGATTGTACCCCCGATGCCGATACCGATTCCAGCCGCCTCGTCTAGATCTGTCGCTGTCAGTTGCATAGTTGCCTCGGCAATTGCATGTCCAAGATCTGCTGCGCCAGTGCCTGTGACTCTGCCTGCTCCTCCTGCTCCTCCTGCTGATTGTCGCTGAAAGTTGAAAGCCGTTCGGCGCTGGACGCTGACAGCGCGGAATTGTCGTTCGCATTGTCAGGGGCCCAGCAGAGATCGAAGCAGAAGCTGAAGCAGAAGAGACGCCGACGATATACAAAAGATGCAACTGTCGTTGCTCGTTCGTTACTTGTTGTTGTTACTGTAGTTGCTGTTGCTGTTGTTGCTGTTGTTGCTGTTGTTGCTGTTGCTGTTGCTGTTGCTGCTGCCCAGGCTGACAGGCAGCAACACAAAAAATGCGCTTGGGAAACTGCCACCGAGCTGCTTAAATCAAATATTGAAATACCTCGCACAGACCATGACCCAAACGGCCTCCTGCTGCCCCGCCTCCTGCTCCCCATCCCCTGGCGGACCCTCTCGCCGACTGGCTGGCTAATTGCCGCACACTTGAACCAAATAATTGCTCAACAAAATAAATTCCACATTGTATTTGTTGAGTATAGTTTTTTTCGATATAAATTTTCGTAGATTTTGATTTTGTTTTGTTTTGTTGTTTTATTGATTTGTGCATTGCATTCGCAATTTTTTTTTTGTTTTTGTTTTTTTTTTTTTTGTTTCTCATTATGTTTTTAATACTTTACAATATTGAATGTTGTCTATGCTCTAATATAAATTAATTAAATATACTTGAATTAGGCGTCTAATTAATCATTAAGCTATCAATTAATTAATTATTAGTAATACCTAGAACGCACAACCGGAAAGGCAACATAATTTATGGATAAATTAAATTTTGCATGGGGGCGGATTAAAAAAAAAGACACATATTAAATGTTCCTTTGTTTTTTTTAGTTAAATAAAATATGGTTAGTAATAAAGGATTTCGTTACTTTTGTGCAAAATTTCATAAATTCCATAGCAGAAATAACCGAGTACAAAATTAATGGTTTATGTGGCGCCATCTAGCGTGCATTTGCTGTACTTACTTAGAGATAACGAACTTATAATGAAATTAAATTAGCTTAATTATGTACACAAAATGTATGAAAGACGCAGACATGGAGAGCTGCTGCAAATAGTGCGTAGTTTATATGAGCTGGTTCATATGTGGGAACTAGTTCCTTTCTGCTGCCAAACGTACACGCGTCGTATGCTTAACATGCGCTTTGCAACTGGGCAAAGCGGGAATGCAAGCAGCGCTGCCAGCGTCAACGTCAGCGTCGCTGTTAACTAGACAACAACAATGCTGTTACTGTTGCTGTTAGAGAGAGAGGGCGAGAGAACAGAGGAAGAGAGAGAGAGAAGAAGAAGAAGAGAGAGTTTCAGCTGCGCGCAATTGAATTTCAGTCTTGTTTTCAATAATTTCGTAAAATATTTTTCGTTGATTAAATGAATGGGGTCGAAGGAGATGCTTAAACGCGCTTTTGTTTTTGTTTTCCTTTTCTTTTTTCTCTTTTTCAATTATGAAATCTATAGCTAAATTAAGACTATAATTTAGAACATACTTTATACTTTTATGGGCCTTGCAGAACAGCAACGAAATTTACAAAAAAAAAAAAAAATGATTTGCTGCTAGGATCGCGTGTTGCTTATAAAACTAAAAACTGGGCAAAACGAAGTTGTATACTCTACTTTTGTCGTGTCTATGGACTGTCTATATAAATATATATATATATATGTGTGTGTGTTTATATATACGATTATATGTATATGTACGTAATACTGCTAAGAAGTCAGAGTGGGCTGTTATGTGCGCGTAAATTAGGGGCGGTTCATGGACTTTAACTAGGCTTTAGTCTAGGCTCTTAATGTCTAATAACAAAGGCTAAGCGTAGACAAATACATAACACATACACAAAGTGGGCATTAGGGGGCGGATGGGCTAGTGGGCAAGAGGGCGGGCCGAGGCTGGGCGCGGCCGGAGAGGGAGGCCTACGGGCTTACAGACACGTGTGTATGATCTTCTTGGTTCGACACAGCTTGCACTTGACCTCGCAGCACCAGTGGAAGGTGCAGGCGCAGCGCTCCACAACGACGACCTCCTGCGTGCGATAGCCACGCCCACAGCACATCAGGTCACAGCCGTCGACGCCCAGCGAGGTGTCGTTGCACTGCCGTCCGTGTGTGCCCAGAATGCCCTGCCTCAGGTTCTTCTCGCAGAAGCTGGGCGATGACTCCAGATAGACAATGTCCTTGGGACCTGGCGGCTTGTGCTCCGGATTGTGCGGATTCAGCTGGAAGTGATATCTGCAAAGAGGAGTAAGAAGAAGAAATGGGGATTGAGTAATGTATAGAATATATAGAATATAGAATATAGAATATAGAATATAGAATATAGAATATAGAATATAGAATATA